CTTTAATAGAACTCACTGCAGCAGAAGTGTATTTCAGAGCAAGTTCATGGAAAGAAGCTGTTGATTTCACTGTAATATACTGGACTCGGGTAAAAAAGTGAAAAAAGGCACAGGAATTTTGGTCCTCAGAAGCAGGGCTGCTCCCACATCTCAGTTTTTTGATAAATTCAGCTTTCTGGCTGGGTAATTAGAGCCGGACTTCCAGCTGGGGTGAGAATGTAGTCCCAGCTGGAGACCTAGGGATGGCAAGGATGGGGCCCTGCAAATCCAGCTCTGCAACGTCCTGAGCTCACAGGCCGTGACCCTGCGGGTGGCACCAAGTCCTCGCGCGTCCGCACGGGGACCCTGCGTGGGCAGGGGAAGGGGCTCGGTGCAACAGCGAAACGCTGCGGTTGGGCACAGAGAACGTGAACACGGTGATTAATACAAGAGACTTGTCAAGATATTGTTACAACTACCACTCCGGTGCCATGGGACAAATAGAACTCTGCTAGAGTCCTGGCGATAAAGAGAGCAAATTCTATTTGGAGAATAAAATATTTGTTATTATTTCTGGGACAGTCTACCCAACTCGAGAAGGGCAGGCTGCAGAGTTCAGCACTTTGTTTAGCTAAGTCCTGTTTCCAGTCAGATGCTAACAGTGCTCTTGTCAAACCCTTTCAAGCCCTTAGGATAAGCAGTATCTATTAATTTACTATTATTCCACAGCCATACCATACTACTGGGAAGTAAAAACAGTCCTATTCCACCGGATAATTTACAGAAATGTGAGTGAGTGCAGAAAGGTTAAGCAGCTTCCCCAAATTAAGGCAGGAAATGTAGGCAAAGCAAAAAGTCAAGCTCAACACAGAGCCTACGACAACCACCACTGGACCATTTTTCTTCTTTAATTCACGCTTGTTAATCTATACTATTATTCTATTACTTAGATTCTCTTTTTAAACTGCAAGATATTTTAGCATTTGCCAAATATCCGAGAGCTGAAAGGTCTATAGCAGCACAACATCAATTTGATCAAAATATTCACGAGGTCTGCAGTCACGGCCGACAGGCCTGACAACTCAGGAGATTTCCCAAGACAAGAAATATTATGTTTGAGCACTCCGAGGTCTCCACGGGGAAAAACTCCTACGTTATGCAGGCAGTAATCATGATGAGTTAGTGACTGACATGGAGTTAAATCAAATTCAGCTGTTTTACGGTCACTGATGCAGTTGGAGCTACTGCCTTTCGGGTGTTACGCAAAGCCTTGGGATTGAAGTATATACTCCACATTTTCTGGCAGCAGAAAGGCTGCAAGGTCCCACATAACCCATTTTTTCACCTGCTCATTACTTCTGCAAATGCTTTTTTTGCTTCCAGTCATTGCTAAGTGCTGTTTAAGCATATCCACGTTTTGCTTTTGAAGCTGCACACATCTCACTGCAGTGACAAAGTCACTCAGCAAGTAGCAACCTTTGGGTTCTGGATGCAGAAAAGTAATACAAATAGGAGGAGGATGCAACAACAACTATAGAACTTTATCTGAAAAGCTAGAAAATGTTTTATGAGGATGTTTTTATGCCAGTGAAGGAAAACATTCCCTGCCTATGTGCCCAACCAATGTCCTAAAATATTCAGGACCAGATTCCAGACCAGGTTAGCCAACTACATGAGGAACTCTGCTCTTACACGTAAAAATAGCAAAGTTCAGAGCAGTCTTCTAGTTCCATAAAAAACGTGAAGCACTTGATCAAAGCATACACTAAAGCTTCAAATAAGGACTCAATATTTACTAATGAAAATTATCTATTTTTAAGCCAATCCCTTGCTTAGAACTGACCACTAATTTCAAGTGCTGCGGGAGTGGCAGTCTTGTTATCAAAGTGAAACCCACTTGCAGGCTGTGGCATTGCCACGCTCTGTGTCACAGCAGCTGTGCCTCCATTGCCTTCTAGATTTTATTCGTCTCCACTGGCCAGTAAGGAGCAAATTGATGATTACTTAAAAGACTCATTTGTTTGCATTAGAGACACCCTGAGGTAAGCTTGGACTAACTCTTTCCGTAGAGGGGATTAAAAAACTGAAATAATAGAAAGCTAATAAAACGCTAGGCACTGACGACTCCAATGCGATAACATTTCTATAAACACAGAAGAAGAAGATCTGTTATTGCAAGGAGAGTCTAGCAATGTAAACACTGACTTACTCCTAAAATTTAATTCTGGACTATTATTACTTTTATAAAGAAAAGGAAAGAAAACTATTTCTCTACACAGTAACAGTGTAAAGCTGGGAGATGTATGTGGCACAATATCAAAGTGGAAAGCAAACTGCCTAAAGATCTCTCAAGCAACACTGCTCAATCTAATGATATCCTCTTCCCCTTCAAATGAAAAACTAAACCAATCAAGTTTGGGGGGGTATTTCTAGAGATTTAAAAATATAACTTTATCACCATTTCAGCCACAAACAGGGGCATTTAAGAAAAAAACAGTAGTGTGAAATGCCTTTTTCATACACAGGGTCAGAAGGAAACTTCGTGCAAATTGATGTAATTTCGTTGATGGTGAGTTATTTACAACTTTTTACACTTCTTAAAAGAAGTGCAATAAAACTGTGCCCTGTACATAATTAAAGGTATCGATTTGGGAATAATTTGGGGGAATTGCAAACAGCATTCCCAGATCTTCATTGGTAGTACCGGGCAGCTTGCCAAAAGCAGTTTCCTTGACAAGGACCCAAAGGTCTCAGTGTAATGTGCTACAGGAGGCCACACCTATTGCTTTTACCAGACAGAAGTGAACTACAGCAGCTTATTCTAGAATTTATAACAAAATTCTCTATGCAGATTTCCCATGGAACTACCTCCATACACCTACACACTCCCCTGTGCGCTGAGCACCAGTGTTCAGGTCTTCTATTTATGAGGTTCATGAGTGTTTCCTTTAGCAGAAGCGCTGCCTTCCACACCCCAAAATTTGCAAATCTACACTGAAAAGACAGATGGAGGGAAAGCCGAAGCAATCAGAGAGCCTGGAAGAAGCAGGAGTGGGGCAGGTCCTGGCCATTTGCTGCAGCCGCTGCCAAATCTCCTGCTGGCCCCAGCAGAGAGGTTTTGACCGGGCCACTGAAGAGCCGACATCCTGTGTCGGATTCGGGCTTTCGAGCTCTTCAAACCATCTGCTGCATCACGTTTCCAAGCCAGTTAAACAGAAACGAACCGCTAAACCAAATCCTCTCCGTGTTCAAGTGCAAAGCACACTTTTAACTTCCCCTTTTCTGACTTAAAACACACAAATAATGAATGTATCCGTGTGTGGGATTGCTATTTCAAACTTTATACTTTCTCTACGATGTTTAGCCCTGGTAAGAGGAAGATGCGTCCATACATGCTCCGATATCCCCGACGTCCCCCCGCGTGCCCCGGAGGTTGTTCGGACGCAGTAACGGCCGCACATTCGGTATGTGGGAATTTTCACTCCGCAGACGGAGGAGGAGACCTTCCCAACGGCGCACAGAGGTCACAGCACCCCTTTTCTCGGCAAGCACCCGCTGTTTTTACGCTGCGCTTGAAATCACCGCTGCAGAACGGAAAACGGAAATGAGCAGCGATCTGCACCAAGCGCGCAGGGCCTCGCTCGTTTTTTAACGTTATTCCCGACAAGCCGAAGCGAAGGGCCTGAGGCTGTGGAGATGCAGGCCGCGGCCTGGCCCCGCGCCGCCTCCTGCGCTTCCCGTGGCCGGTGAGCGGGGCCTGGAGCGGGACGGAGGCCGCACAGCCGCCCCCCCCGTATAGGCCCCGGCTGCCTGAACATTCACCTGGCTGCAAAGGCCATAGACACCAGGGATAGCGAGGGACAACAACGGGGTGGTTTGCAGCTGTTTGGGGGAGATAGCGATGTGAAACTCAGCACATTTGGTCACAGCCCGAGGGCACCCCATCGGGGTAGCGGTTCCCCCCGGCAGCCCTCGTGATGGGGATCCCCCCCCCGTAGAATTAGGGCCACTTTGGTTTTCTAATTAGCTCAGCTCAGGCTTGGGGAGTGTAATTCTCTTTTTTTCTCTATTTTAGGAGCTTGAACAAAAGCTGAAGACTTCATCGGATTCCTCGCTGCTGGCAGACATATTGCACAAGGTAATGTGCGCTCCTTAACATCACTGCATTTAAGATACACTTTGGGGGCAGCCAAAACTGTGCTGAGCATATGGAGCTTGCATTATGCAAGGAAAAAAAAAATGTTGCCTTGCACTGCTTTTTGTTGACCACTGCATGCACAGGGAAAGTGGAGCAGTTTTTCTTTGTGCCTGGCAAAACAGGAAACTTATCTGTTCATCATTAGCCCCCCACAGAAATGCCAGAGTGTTTATCTGAGCACTGATGTCTTTAAGAGCACAAACAAGTCAGGTAAATTAATCTCAGCAACTTAATTCATGGTGCTCTAATTATTAAGGAAGAAGTAGGGATGTAAACCACCATCAGAATTCATACACCCTTACTGAGTTAAAACTTAGCATTTAGACAGCAAGTCACAAATAAGAAAGAGAAAGAACCAACTGGACCCTTTTTTTTTTCCCACCCAGTTTTCTACTTACTTTTTGAAAAGGGAGGAATGCATTTGCTTCCTTGGATTTCTACCCTGCCAAACCTAACAGAAATCACCAAAGATAATTTTCTGGCTCAATATCATTTCTTTTATCTACAAATGGAATCATTATGCATTTTGTGGTGTAAAGAGAACCAGGTTCAGTTGATGTCTCCATTTCCTTTCTCTGGCCCTATATTGCCTTTCATTGCAGTTGCTGATTTATTGTTTCAGACTATTCTCCACCCCCTGTGTGTACAATATCCTGCTTCTGTCAAGTATAGAAGATGCTTTTTAACTGAACTCATTAAAAAGGTAGTGTTTACTTTTCATATGGCTTAAAAACTCTTTTTTTAAAAAATGTCTTGCGATGGGTCTTCTTGTAAAATGAATTCTAGCATTCCATGTGAAATGTTGTAGCAAAGGTGTATTAAAATATTGGATGTGTGTATAATCTCTGTTTTAAGATTGATAAATTGCTACCTGAAATTCTGTACTATTCTCTTTCACACAGCATGAATCCACAACAGCTGAACCCTTGGATGAACTGTATGACACACTAGCAGATATTTTAAATAAAGAAGAATCTATTCATTGTTACAAGAACTACTTACTGGTAAAAACAATATTGCATTATTGCAAATCAATTTGAATCATTACAACTAAGCAGTAATTGGTTTTAAAAGTAACCCCCCAAAACCCAGAGCTTCCTACCTTTCTCCAGATATTAGTACTGATTTTTAACTGTAAAATTTGTTGTCTACACTGATGTATCTTTCTCTTCCTGCATGTGTCTTCCAGCCCACGGGAGAATCTATTACCCTTTCTGAGGACGTAGCAATTGTCTCACGAGGGACCACAGGGCTTGTCACGTGGGATGCTGCTCTTCATCTTGCTGAATGGGCGATAGAAAATTCTACAGTTTTCACTAACAGGTAACAATCACATCACAGGTAGAAAGATGGGGAATGCTACTAATATATTTTCGTCCATATCATGAATGAGCTATGCAATTATAATTTGACAATATACATTATTCACCCCCAACTAACTGAAATTTAAAATAGTGCATATCTTTTAAATGTGAACAAGAAAGAATCTCACAGAGGTACAGGTAAGTCTTAGCAAGTCCTAATTTCCCTTCCCTAAGCACTCTTAAATCATTAAGAAATTAAGGAATCATGAGTAGCTTTCTCCAGATCCCAGAGGGCATCACAGATGTTAATGTAATGCCTCTACATTACCCTGGGTTTGGTGGTAGTTAATAGTACGGCACAAAGCAGATGGTTGACTTGTTCATGACACTGTGAGCCTTAGGGCCTAGTGACTCCACCCTTTGCCCTTGGCTAACTGCTGCTCATCAGGACTGTTCTGCAACAGTTGAGCCTTGATCCAGCAGAAGACTTCAGAGTTACTTTGAGACAGGTTACCCCATGCAGTCTGACCTCCTCTGTTCTGCAGGCTCTTACATTTCAGCTACCCCACTGTCAAGCCAATAACCTTAATTAGCGCACTTAGCTCCATGATGGGAATCATTTTACCTAACTTTAGGTGATTACAGTGCAGATGTTTACATCTCATCTCATGATCTAAACTCTGTCTGTAACCAGCACAAAAGAACAAATACTCAGCTGGGTTATTTTAACTATCTACCTCACAAGTAAATAGACTGTGCTATAGAAGTTCATTTCTTTTCATTGCCTACAAAAAGAACTGGAGAGCCAGTTAGGATGGAGACAAACATGCTACAGATGTCCAAAGCTGAGTGAAATGCATCTCACTCCAAGGATGGACATGCTTGCTCCATATGCAGGAGACTGAAGTTCCTTCATTTCTTCAGGCTCAGACAAAGATCTGGTGGCCATGTCGTGTCATACTCATATAATATGGGAACAGGCTCTTCAGCTTGGTTATAAATCTTATCTTTGTATAAACTGCATTCTGTATCTCACCCAAGCCTCCAAGTGCTCCAGGAAATGTTAATTTTATACATATTTCAGGAACTAATTCTTATGCTTAGAATTGCATCTTCATTATTTTTATGTTCTGGTTTCATAACTCAAATTGGGCTCCTAATAAATACTTATTTTACTCCATTAACCTTCAGGACAGTTTTGGAATTAGGAAGTGGGATCGGCTTCACTGGAATTGCAATCTCCAAAGCCTGTAACCCCAAGGCATATATATTTAGTGATTACCACCCCAGCGTTCTCAAACAGCTGACAGAAAACATTTGTTTGAATGGCTTTGTTTTGGAGCCTGAAACTACTAATCATATCGAAATGGAGTCCCGAGGCCGGAAGGTAGAAGTGATGACTTACCAAAAAACAAAACTAACTGTTGCAGAACTTGACTGGGGTTCAGTTACAGAAAAACAAGTGCTGGATCTTCAACCTGATGTCATCATTGCAGCAGGTACCATACATTTCTATTTATGCTTCCCTGTGTGACATCATGCAGTAATCAGTAAATAACAGAGACAAAATGCAAAACTACTCATGTGCACAACTCACTTCAGTTATTAGGTCTGAAAGTACATGACAGATGTACTTGCAATTTATGTCAGCATTCTTTTTCAGATATTCAGTAGTTGTTTACAAATCACTGAAAAGCACTGACCTTTTTTTTTTCAAATTGTGATAAGAGCTTCATCAATTAGAAATGTCAAACTTGGCAGTCTCATAAGGGACAAAGGATATTAGGAAAATTACTTTTTTGGAAGTTACTTATTTTCAGTGGTAGGCTTTTATTCCCTGATTTGGAGCTCTGCAAAGCAAAAATTGCCTAACAATCCAGGTGAAGTAATGAAAAAAAAATCTTTGTCATTAAAGGCATCGTCTTAGATTGTGAATTCTATAAAATGTAGCCATTGTTATCTAATCCCAACCATACTGCTCACAGAATGTACAAAATAGCCTAACTTAGATTCATAAAGGTAAAGTAATTCAAAACTGAGGGTGAATTACATATATTTATCATTTTCCATTACTAGCTACTGCAGCACAGATTTTTATTATGTTTTATCAAGAGTAACTGGTACATCTGTCACTGGTACATGCATTTGATCTTGATCTTTCTGTGTCATGAACAACCACCTCTATCAGTCAGTTCTTAACACAAGACTGAAGACTTCAGACTTCAGACTACTGAACAGTCAGGCTGATATATTGTACATCTAAATGGTCAATTTTACCTTATTTACCTTAAAGAAGAATATGATTTATCTTTTCATTTTGTAGTTTTCATTCTGCTTTTGTCCATTTCTCAACAAATGCCATGTACTTTCTTCTTTGTGCAGATGTGATATATGATCCAGAGATAACATTAGCCCTTATTGGCCTGCTACAAAAACTCTCCGCTTGGAGGGCGGATGGGAAACCTCCCGAGGTCTATATTGCCTTTACAGTCCGAAATCCCAACACGGACCATCACTTCAAGGCTGAACTTGGTAGGTGCCTTCTCGTTAAATGTCCCAATTGTTTTGGCCTCTTTCCTAGTTGCTACATCAGAACAGAATTGAGGAAGAACACTTTTTTTAGTGGTGACTATTTTCTGAAATTCTTATCCTTAGCTCGATCCAGCAGAGGTCACGGCTCTTAGGCTGACCTTTCCACATGGATTGGATCAGGAGATTGGATCTCAGCTTTTGCTACATCCTGCCTATCATAACTCACATTTGTTATAGTGCCAGCTTGTGATGAATTGCAAGCTTCATGTTAATAGGAAAGATCATAGAGTTAAGGTCAAAGGAGAAAAACATCTGTACTGCACTATTGCTGGGATAACATTTCAGGTGCAGCCTAAAACTTTGTGTTGACTAATTGTTCTTGGGGGAATTAAAAAAAGAGAGGAGATAAAATGATGAGGGTTATTGGACTTCTCTAACTCTTCAAAAATCTGTCTTCTGCAACCTACTGGCTATACAGCTGGTCTCCAGCAGTTGGTTAATAAACTTTTGACTGCCTAGCACATATGTGCCTGTTAATTTTTAAAAATATACACTCAAAAACACTTGCCTGTTGCTTGAACAACGGCCTGAAAGATCTGTTCTTACCGGAGTTGGCACGTAACTTTTGTTCTTCATTCTGTTTTGAGCAGAAATTTACCTCCTGTGTTTCTTTCCACAGACAAAGTTGGGATTGGATGGCAGATTATTCCAGCACACAGGAACAGTATTTTCCTCTGTGATCTGCAATCAAACATAACTATTCTACAACTATTGATATAGATTTTGTAAATTCAATACAATTAGAATTTTTAGACCAACAGGAACTATTTCATACCTACATGATCTTGAATTCCAGAAACAAATGAGTAGCATTAGGAATACAACTGTAGGCACAGACTGTTGTCCAAGGGCATTGCACTTCCTCCTGTAATTGCAAACCTGTATAAGAAGCAGCTGCCCTTTAGAAGAATCTGTGGGTTTTGATTTGTAAGGAAACAAGGAGCCTAATCATACTGCACTTGGATTCTGCACAAGCAACAGAACTGAACTCTATAGTTTGAACTGTATTTTGATTTGTAAATAATGGAAGCACATCTGCAACATCACAGGATGAATATCTCACACTGAGAAGGGAACAGAACCATGTTGCACAGTAATAAATGGTTTTTAATATTGAGAATATTTGTAGATGGTTGTAGACTTTTAAATGTATATATTTGTACACCTGCAATGCAAGTTATCTTAGAACAAAACAAGTAATACTTGCAATAAACACAGATAGCATCTTAAGTTTATATGATGCTGTAAAAGAATGAAATTGATTCTGCTGTAAATTAGATGCATCTTTACTGTGCAGTGGTGACAAAAATCAGAACTTGATTTATGTGTCTCACATTAAGAGCTCATACAACTAGCTATGAAGGTGGTCTCCTCTCAGACTAACCAGAAAATGCAAGAACCACTGTACTCCACAGCAACATTCTTCCTTGTCTAAGTGCACTGTACTGCAAGGAAAAAAAGATTTTTTTTTAAAGTCTAAAAACAAACAAACAAACAAACAAAAAAACCTCATATTTTCACATTCCCAGTAGTGGAACCAAATCCCTGTCAACAATCCCTTTTAACAAAAAGGTAAACACGGTGCTGAAAGAGAAGACTAGCAAATGGCTGTCTGGTTTGACAATAGCAAATGCGAAATGATAACCAAGTAAACTGGTCTTAAACTCCTGGTGAAGAATTCACTGTGATGATCCACCACTCCTGAACCAGGAATTCCGGAGGAAGGGCCTGATAAGCCATCTACCATTTGTCTCCAGTTTATAAACAAGACAAGATTTATAGTGAGCTCTTCTCAATTGTACAACTTTCCCTAAGCTGGAGCTATGTGAACCAAGACAACTGTTCAAACTGTCCAGCTACTGCTAAGTATTTTTCATATCCATCTTAGTATTTATGAAATACTTTCCTATGCTGGTAGAAGGAATTAAAATACTCTCATTTTTGTAATATATCTAATATGCCAAGAATTCAGGACTTTTTTTTTTTTTTACACCCACATTTAAGCCGTGAGAAAAAATTAATACATCCACTCACCGTAGTGTGGAAAAATGATTCAAAACATCTTTTCAAGGTTTTTTTCCCTATTCTTTCGCTTGAACCGTAAGTTCATTATTCAGGTACAAGCCTCTTACTTACAAGCTTCTACTTACTATGGGAAGTCACAAAGTGATTTTTTGTATTGAAGTGTTTTGTACTGCCCTAGCTCTTGAGGGAATAGCAAGATCAATAATTGAGGCATTTCCAATTAAGAATCGGAGTACATACATCACCTCCTGTAAGACACACTAATATTTAATTCCAGTTAAAAACAAAAAAAACCCTTCAAGCACACTGCAAAAGGACAATTTGTACAAAGCCAGCAGAAACACTCATTCTCCAACAAATATAGCTGAGAATGACAAAATAAACATAAAAAAAAGAGCAGTTCCAAGGCAGACAAGGTTTGGGGCAACTAGCCCAGTTTCCTGAAACAGCTATTAATTAAGTAACAGAAAGGAGGACAACTATTTTTTACTGTCAGGGAATATTTGTTAGTCCAGCAGAACTAGAAAATGAATAGAGCTAAACCATCATTCTATCTTTACTTGTCCAAGCAGCATCTATATGATAAAATCAAACGCATTTACTCCTTAAATGACTGGCATCTATTTTGTAAAGAATCATAAAGATGATGAAGTAAACAGCCCATACGTACTGGGTCTGCATGTGAATACGAACTAAATAAAAAACAAGGCTATACCTGAATAAGCATTCAGAAGGTGAAGTGCCTTTTTATGGGATTATACATACTGTAATAATCTATTTTTTTCCTCTTCTATTCATCTGTTCAAATAGGAGTACATTTTATGGTCTTTCTCAAGGTAAATGCGTACATTTACTTCAGTGTACAAGGGCCCTGACTCCTCAGAGGTGCTTTCCTCTCAGCATTCAATAAAGCTGCTATGTATCAGTGACCCTGTTTCCACACTCCTGCACACACTGCAAGAAAAAAAAAAAGAACTTTAAGCTAAATGCTTCTCCCTTCATAAAAATATATACATATATATAAAAATACAAGAGGATATTCAATACTAGCCAAGAATATGAACCGTTAAAGGAAAAAAAAATACACTATCCTCAGTTCAAATAACACTCAAATAAAAAGCATGTCCTACTTACAGGGAAAAGAAACCTCAAATCACTGAAATCTTTTACTGCAAAGCAGAAAGTAACGTATACTGTATACACAGCAGGTAGAATTGTTTTGCTTCATGTATACTCTCAGGACCTACACGAGAGGGTACCGTTAAGCAACACAAGTAACAGATTTTGCATGTGACTTCCTAGAGTAGCTCAACTCCTCCCCATTTTCTAAAGATTAATTCCAAGTGATAAGGAAAGTTTGTTCAGATGGCAATGCAGGAACGACGTCTTTCCTCAATCCTTACACATCAGTGCACGACAACCTCAACTGCCACTTCAGTGCTACTCTTAACTCATACTGGAGACTCAAATTGTGAAGAATGGAGTGTGTTTAAACACTTGTCCCAGGTGAAATGATTAAAAAAAAGCTGCAACAAATCAAAACACAGAATGTTTATTCACCATTTATCACATCTATGCAAATCCAGGAATGTTTTAGCTGTTTTCCCCCACACTCTCCTTCCCCCACAAAAGTCATTCATTCTGCTGAAACAAGGGAAGGACAGTCTGGTCCCAGCTCTCATCCCAGCGCAGCTGCTTGGATGCCTGAAGATTTCTTCTGAAATTTTCAAGCTTGCCTTGCAGTGTAGGAAAATCCAAGAAAAGCATCTGTAAATTGTTTTAAAACAAAAAGAAAAAACACAGATGAAAAATGTCATCATTATTATATTTTAGGCTCATTCTAGCATTTCCAATTTTTAGCCTAAACTACTTTGTTACATAAAAATGAAGCTCTTTGATCTGACCCTCTAAACAACATAAGATGACAATATTTTAAATGTTATTGATTCAATAACAGCTTCAGAGTCATATACAAATACAAACATGACCAATTAGATTCACTAGACCAAAGAATATCCTCCAAGAATGCAAAATACATGGTAATACCTTTCTAATTATAGCCACAAGGTAGAAAAAGAATCAGTCAAGCTTTTACCTTCAGCTGTTCTGCAAGTTCATTTGAATCCCTAAATATCAGACCATTTTCATTGTGTTTCACAAGTTCATGTAAACTGTGGACAAAAATCATAGGGAAAAAAAGCATGAGAGAAAAGGCAGCAAGTGGGACATATGTATTTAAAAAGTTACACAGCACCATCTGCAGAGACTGTGCTATGATGCCGGTAACATTAAGATACTTGATGTGTAGGTAGGAGTTTCGTCCCTGATCAGAGGCAGGTAAATTTAAAGATTGCTTCCCCTTCTATGTATTGGCTTACCCAGGTCTATCATTATGTGCCAAACTGCCCTTTCTGTCTTGGTGCTATTTATTCAGATGTGCATTACAACTTAGGGCAACAATCCTTGAGTTAAAATTAACCCACGAGGCAAATCTGTCCATTACCTTGTTCATGGGATTTTCATAAACTTTTCATAAAAAAGGGTGGAAAGGAATAACTGGGTAAATCCCAGTAGGTGCAAAAATATAAGGTGGTTACATGGTTACAAAAATATACCTGGTGACAAAATTACACAGTTGAACTTTCCTGGCAGAAGAGGCTCAACTGAGCTGTGCAAGGCTGTACAAGTAATATTAAGATTTTTTTCCCCCTCTGGTAATTAGTTTTAGGTAATGCAATCTTATGTTCTAAAAAATCATAGAATCATAGAATGCTTAAGGTTGGAAGGGACCTCTAGAGGTCATCTACTCCAACCCCCTGCACACGCTAGGGTCACCTAGAGCACGTGGCACAGGACTGCGTCCAAGCAGGTTTGGAAGATCTCCAGAGAAGGAGACTCCACAACCTCTCTGGGCAGCCTGTTCAGTGCTCTGTCACCCTCACTGTCAAGAATTTTTTCCTTAACCTCTTTTTATGCGAACTCTAATGATATCTCAACTAATTATGTTGTGCAGTGTATTTCAAATGCAGTAAATGATATTAAGAACAAGAGTTAATTATAATCTTGGTTGCTTTAGTAAACTGGAGCACAAAAAATCGCATAAAAAGTATTGACTAGTCACAGCATCAACTTTTTTTTAGCATCAACTTAAACTATATCAGAATAGACAAGTTCTTACCATTCAAAGTGTATTGCACATACAGGTAAACAACAGCCAAACATATCTACCACCTTCATGGGTAAATCCAACCCACTGGATGATTTATGGAGACACACACCTAAATCTGCTGAGCCTGAGAAACAAAAAATCAAACAGCCTAAATTCTTTGAAAGCAACCCTACTAATCAATATAAACCTTTTTATTCCTATGGGTGACATGAGCTAAACATGAGCCACTTTTCAATGCCATCCAGACTGACTGAGTTTCAAGTATTCAAAAAATGTTATACAATAGATTTTGCTACTAAAACTGGTCAGGCTTTAGAAACATACTAGAGAAGCTAATATTAAAGGGAATTTTAAAACTTCACATATCTTAAGAAGCTTTTCTGTCCCTTAATCTCCTAAAAATGGTTAGGTGTACAGGAATACTCTACCAGAAGGCAGATCAGATGTGCTCATGGCTCTCTAGCAAACTCTTCCAACTTAAGTGATTTCAAAACAGAAATTACAGTATCATATTTATTATCCAGAAACTACTAAATTACCTAAGTATTAAGGCCACATAAATGAGCCATCTTTAAGCCTTCAAAAAATAGATGAGGTTGAATTTGTATTTCACTATGGTATTAGGCTTACTCGCACTTTATGCTATTACAGGAATGTGCTAAGGGAATGCTCTTCCAAAGAAATGATAATTCAGGAGTTCAACCACTTTTGGTTGCTCAGCCAAAAACTTTATCATTTGCTTTATTAACTGACCCTGGGGGTAAAGTGCAACATAAACGAGCACATTGTGTTTCAGCATACGGAGAATTGCAAAAACCAGATTAAAAAAGCAACACAGATATTATGTCTGCTTCTCAAAATAGCTAGGAAAGACTGTATAGTTACAGAAGCTTAACAATTTTGCTGGCATAAGAAAAAACACAACCACTGTTATCTCTCTAGTGTCATTAGTGAGAAATTCAACTCACTGTATTCACCTGTGCAAGATTTGGATCAGCTATCTGCAACTTTGCTAAGTTGTTTTCCTCATGTCTATTTAGTAATCCACTATTTACCAAGCAAAAGAGGGTAATCCTCCGCTTCAAGCCATGGTGTACAGATCTGGATATGCTTGAAATGCAGTTTATCGATCAGTTGGTTGTAGTACTCTTTTAGAGGTCCTTTGCCTTGTTAAAACAGGAAAAAAAATCTTAGTGATTTTATCAGTCTGACTGAAAATAAAGATACTTTCTATAATCCTCCAAGAGAAAGCAACATGAATGCAGACTTAATCTCTTAAATACTAATTAGAAGAGTTTGCCATCGATATCTCCCAGCCTTGTCCTAAATAACCATCCTAATTGCTGCAAAACAATTAATGATTAATTTCATGAGCCCTTTAAAAAAAAGCCTGTTAAGTCTGTTACTTCTAGAAAAGAAGGTATTCTCATCAAACAAGTTTTGTTTAAAAAAAGTTATGTAGACAGAATAGATACTGCTTGGTTAACTTGCTCATTAATTGTAAAATAAAGTTCATTGTGTTTTTTTCAGTTAAACATCAGAATTCTACATTTCTTTTGCTGCAGCATCTCAATGTTCAAAATTGAAAGTAATGCACAGCAGTAATAAAGGAGTGCGCTGAGATATTTTCCTGTTTACAAATACCGCATGTTACTTTGCTTCAACAGTTCAAATAAATTAGTCTTATTTATAATCAGACATGAAGATAACAGTCCCATCTGTTTCTTCACCATCAGTAGACAAGTTAGCACAGTGTGATGATAGAAGTGAAGTCTTTTGTAGCAGCACTGAAAGAGAATTCTAAAGCCAAGAAACTATTACCTGTTATTACACATACTAAAGACGGCAGCTTGATTCCCTCATTGATAAACTTTTCATAATCTGCAGAAGAAAAAAGTTTTGAGTTGATAAGTATATGGACACCTGTTGATGACAAACGGTCTCAGTTTACAAATCATTACTTCCTACTCCCAGCAATCTGTCTGAAAACATATAGCTAGTAAGAGTTGTAAATTTAGCAAACAGTTATAGAAATAAATGTATGTTTGAAATATGCACTATTCATAAATCATTTGACTATCTGAGATCAGCTGTTTCAACATATTTAGAAACTGTAGCTGTGAAGATTACCAAATAAATCAACATGTATTTCCATCTTAATTTCAGATGCTTGTGGAGAATACATATAATAGCTTGCAAAGTAAAATTGCATTTTGGAAGCTAGTTCAAAATATAACGCCTGAAAAACTTAATTAACTTGATTAAATCCAGATGTTGCACTTCTCCGTTTTAATTTATACACTTAAGCCACTGGCACTTTTTCAAATACATTCGTATTTTCACTTGAATTTAGATACAATTAGAGGATTTTTTTTTTCCACAGAAGTCCTTCAAAATTGTTCAGAATATAGCCATACCTGTTTGAATAGCTGAAATGAACTCCTTAAAACCTACCTTCTAATGCTTTTAAAAGGACAGAAAAATCCTCATCCTCTGAAAGAGAGGGTGTTATTAGTGACAGTCATATTACTATTATTTTTAATAACCTTCATATTATTTTAATAAATGCAACCCTTTTGCTGCCTTATTGGCAAGTCTACAAACAAACCACAAATACTTCACATCCCCAAAAAGCAGACTGTACCTAACTCTGCTCTAACTTCAGAAATCAGATTTTCATTGCAGAAATTCTTTTGTTAATTTTAACAATAATTCTGCCCTCAGTTACTAGCAATAGATTTTTTCCCCACTCTGTCCCTCCCTTTTTCACACAGAGGAGAAAAAAAGAGAATGCAATATGCATAATAGTAAATAAAAGAGTAAAAATTTCTTAGGGTCATTTCGCAGCACCATACAAGATTGTAAGTTTACAGTGAAAGTTTTTTTTTTTTTAAGTAGAAAATCTCAGCATCTCATTTGTAGCTCTACAATAAAAAAAAATCTATTTTTCCTCACTTATTGTTAGCCATATTCTATACAACTTTTCTTCAAATTCTTCCAGCCAAATCAAAGAAAAAAAAAAATGGAACTTTGCTGTTGATAATGCCTGTTTAGCATGACAAGCATCACATGGGGGGACATGGTAAACAGCTCTGTTTTTTGTTGTGTTTTTTTTTTAATGGTAGTTAAATATTAAAAGCAAATTATTTATTTCCAAACCTGTCCAGCTTGTGCTGCTGATTAGAAGAGCTGGCCGTCCTCTGGCTTTTGTCACACATCCACTTTTATGATCCATTTCTGTAAAGGCAGACCTCTCAGCACTCGAACTGACAGACTCTGTACTACGTAAACAGAATTTTCTAAATATGGACTACACAAACAGCCAAAAAACACAGAAGGAAATACTGTGCTTAGCTGGCAAGAATTTCCAAATGTCTTGTTTCAGATTAGTTGCTCAAATTCTCCAAAAAGGTATTTATTGCAATTCTGATGTGCATACAGATATCTGATCATAAAAGAGATCATCTTTCATTCTTAGCATTGCTGCCAAGAGCCCAGTAACACTACTGCTATAGGCATCATTCCTTCTAGGACAGCAGGAAACACAGCTGCTGCCTTCACCCCTCAGATATTCTAGCAGAATCCCTCAGTACCTATGCCATTTTATATATATGTGTGTGTACACACACACACACATATATATATGTATTATTTTACACAATAAGAATTGCGTTGCTGCCATATAACAATTCTATTTATTCTGGCCTCTCTCAATGATAATGAAGGCCCTTCTGTAACTCATGATCCTGTGCAAAAATATTTCTAGTAACTAAGTGCAATAGCTTTGTGTCATTCAGTTAAGGACCATAATTGAATGTTTTACTTACACATACTGTTCTTTAAAAGGTTCATAGACTTTGGCGAGCTTCATATACAACTGATGTTGAAGTTCTAAAGGTGTTTCCTTAAAATAAGAAGCTGGCTTGTCATAAAGAGTTATTGCCCTGTAACGAAATAATTCCACAAGTTAAATAAAAAAATAGATGTAACAAGACGCAAACTGTAAAGAAAGAATAACAGGCTACAAGACTGTAAGAAGCAATTAATTAAACAAAATAATGATTTGACTTTTAAGACTTCTTATATTCCTAAAGTGTTCTACAATAAAAACTTCACATATGAGAGTGAACTCAGTAACAAAAAATCCCTTCCTACGCGCATATGCAAAGGATGTAACACAACCATGAAACTGCAAATGTCATTATCTTAACTTTTTAATTTATTTTATAACTGTGCCTGCATGGCTTTGACTTTAGAATCACAGAAGATCACAAAAGAATAATTTGCAGAACAGACTAACTGTAAGTTAATGCATTGATTAGTAATGCTCAGTCTGACTCTATAGGCAGCTTCATAGCAAATTTTCATAAAATCTAAATTCTCACCTTCTAGCCAATGGTATGTTAATTATGAAAGCTAAGGAAGATTCTCAAACGCTCACACTTCACTGGTTCATTAAAAAACAGAACTAACATGTTTCAGTGGTGATGGATGGAAAAGGGAAAGCTCTTTTTGTAAAATTTCTCTACATCCATAAGAATCAGTGCTACACATTCTGATCCTACTGCAAGTATGTACAGAATAATCTTAGAATATTTGACTTACTTTATGTTGCACTTCTCCCATAGATCTTCCTTCATTGCATTAGTGACACATAGGTTATAGTCAGACAAGCGCCCAAAAAGCTTTTCATACCTGACAAAAAAATTATCTGTTAGGAACCACAGCCAGGTAATTTCTGCAGCCAAAAAGCAGCTTCTCACCAATAACAATGAAGCACAAAAAAGTAAATGCAAACAAAAATCCCAGTAACTGAAATTTAAATTCAACTTATTCACTGACTCCTTATATAGGAATAATATCAGCGTACGAAAACTGTTACAGGATGACTCTCTCAGGCCTGAGAACAAAATAATCAAAACACACTACACACCTCAGGCAAGGTGGATTCAGCAAGAAACACAACTACCCACCTACCATTAAAGATGGGTCTGAGTGTAAGCAGCAACTGAGAACAAAAACACTGGACTTGAAGCTATTATAGTAGAGAGATCAAAGTTTGCATATATACACACAAAAAGTCTGCATAACTTACCGAGTCAGAATAAAATAAAGCGACATATGCAAATCACATATTTTTATCCATATGAATGAATCTGGTAATTCCTATGACATTCTCTAGCTTTCCCAAACACACACACGTTTCTAAGACTTTAACTTCTTATTAACAGATAGATCACACACCACATGCATGTACCTACATTGTCCTGGAACATTTCACATTTGAGTTTAAAATAAACTTTTTTTAGGCTTTTTTAGAGCTTGGACTTCTTAAAATGATGCCCATCCTTTATACTTTGCACTGTGTGATAACACACATGTATGTGGAAGATTATTCTTTAATCTTAAAGCTGAAAGGGAATCTTAACAGTACAGAACAGAAAGTAAAAGACAGGTTTTCTTTTGGAAGTTGCTTCCCTTATGTAGAGGCTGGTGTAATTCCTTCAGATTACATAAATCATTTTATAGAATAAAACGGCCCAGACTGATTTTTAGCATGTTTTCCCATCTACCTTCCTATAACATTAGCAGAGACATTTTATAGAATTCGCTTTCTGAAAAGTTCAAGACTGCAAAATCCAGATATTCACAGAGTTAGCCCTTTGCTAATGATACTCTCTGCTCTCCAACCTTCAGAATACTGCAAAGGTAATTTGTAAAGGAAAGAAGAAACTACTATACAAACCATTTTGCAATTTGTACTAGCAGGTGATTTCTTCCATGAGTCAGACTCATTATAGTATATCCATAGTTATGCCAATCAATTATGAGTTTGCTTCTCCATACAAGACACACCACCCAGGCAACAGCTATACTAGGCAGACCCGGAGGATTCTGTTTAATACATAAAATAAATACAAGTAATGTGAGACTGCGGTCAGGAGATAAACACTAAGCAACTACTGGGATATTGGGGGGCGGGAGGAGGGAAGACTGAAATTACATTTTTTTCAAGAATCATAATGAGCAAATAATTCCGTGTTCTTCAACTGCATAATCTCCACTTTTTTGCTATGAATACTGGTAGGCATTTCAAATTTTGCTGTCAAATCTGGATTATGTCCCCCTCCCAATAAACACAGAAGCTTTTCCATTATGATTTTTTCTTCACTAATGTGAAGAAAACCATACCAATTAAGTACAAAAGCTGAAAAATTAATGGACAATCTAAAATGAGTCACCAGCAGAGAAGTCAAACCAAATACGTATTTTTATTAGCAGGCTAACATCATGGATTTTACCAGTTTCTGGTCTAAAATAATTAGAAAAACATCCCAGACTGCTAAAAAAAAAAAAAAAAAAAGTAATGCAATACTCATTTTCAATCAAAATTACACACAAAACATACCTGAAGAAGGATGTAGGACGGCCGATCCATCCTCAACATCACATACAGCAACTGCACCGCTTGGGCGATGACTTTTACAACGTACTGGAAAATCTTCGGGCCGACTGCAAAATGACCAAGAAAGCCGGTAAGAATATTACCCAGCTCCATGAACAAAAGAAGGAAAAAAAAAAAGAAAAAAAAAAGTTTTTCATGTAAAACCAACTATCTTCCCCAGAAAGGTTCCCCCCCCCCCGCAGCGCCCTCAGCTCTGAGGGGGCCTCGATCCGTATGTTCGGGTGCTCCA